GTGGTGATACTCCGCATTCTTAATACCACCACAGGTTTATTAGTACCGTTTTATTGTTAAAAGTTATATTATTAGAGACAACTTAAATATAGATGCAACAGAGAAAAGGCAGCATAACATCACACCTTAGTAATGTATCGGTCTAGAGGATAACAGCATGTAGACAGGTAGAATTAGCGGAAAATTCCTGAAAAATCCGAAAAATTCCTATTGGAGCAAAAAAAAAAATTTAATGAAGATTCAACTATAAGAAATTGATTGCAATAAAAATTATAACAAAATATTGTCATCTAAGGTGGCAAAACATTTTTTTTCGCATCTGGAGAGAAAACTAAAGCTCCTACTAAAATAAGTTGAATGTAACAAATGTGCGCAATAAAAAACAAAGAGAATGAATCCTTGGAGAGCAAATCCGGCTCATCAGATCTGACATCACGTCCACTGGACTACAGTGGCTGGCCCTTCCCCTCGCCAAAAAGTACCTAAAAATTTGGGTATTTGTAGTTAAACTCCTACTTCATTCATAGGTGCCGAAGTTATAACTTTTTCAAATATAACCCCCCCCCCCCCCCCCCAATCCCTTAAAAAAAAGGTAACAAGTTAACAGTTTGCAAAAAGTTTAAAACATCTTGACCTGAAAATTTAACTGTAGTTACAAAGCAACAACACTGACAACATATCCGAATTTCAACTTACAACCACTTCCCGAAAGCCAGTTATGAATTTGCCAAATTTTGCCAAAAAACGGGGTTTTCTGCAAATTTCGGGCGATCTCATGGTCCGATTTTGCTCTCCAGGGGTTCATTCTCTTTGTTTTTTTTTTATTGCGAATATTTATGACATTCAATTTAGTTTTCGTAGGAGCTTAAATTTTCGCTCCAGATGTGAAAAACTTGTTTTTTACCATTTTCGACATTTTTTTTGCCACCTTAGCTGACCATATTTTGTTAAATTTTTTATTGCAATCAATTCCTGATGGTTAGTTCCTATAGTCCGCTCCAATAGGATTTTTCTGGACCAAAAAGCTAATTCTACCTATCTAATGGTGGTGATCATGCTTTTGAGAAAAATCGTCAATTATTCCATATCTGTTAACTATTTCTCGGGAACGACGAGTAAGGTTGTTATTAGCGAGGGTCGCTTTTGTTTATCGTTGTAAACAGGAGTCACAGGAATTAAAATTAGGGTCAACTTACTCCCATAAAAAGAATTTAGTGACGGAAATTAGGCAATTTAATATTCTTTACGTCTTCTACAGACGGTCTCTTATTTATGTACTCCGAACACTGACAACAATATACATTTAACTTCAAGTATCTGTTGGTAAATGGTAATAAAATTGTTGTAAACGAGCTAGGGGGGGTTGCTATTTTCATTAAAGCATTAACTTGCGGCAGTGGGGCGGCATTAATCTATTTACGAGATATCGAGTTATGTGAGCCTACCTGTTGTAATCAAACTGTGTTGTAAACTAGTGTAGTCAAGACTGAGAGATGAGCGAACACCTACTATTTTAATAACTTTGTACTGCATTGACATAATCTAATTAAACCACCAAGTGCGTGACGGGCAACTCGATATATAAAATTCCGCAGTAGCTTGGTTTTATACAATCGCATCATATACTCGTATCAATATCGACGACGCGACGACGCTACCGGAGAACTCTGGGGTAAGCTAGAACGGTTACAAAATCTCTGTATCCGCTTCATATTTGGTCTTTAAAAGTTCGATCATGTTTCGGAATTTTGGAAACGGCTAAATTAGTTACCTATTCGGTGGCGTCGACATCTCCACATTCTTTCCTATTCAACTTTATACAACCACACTTGTCCTTCATATCTCCGTGAGCGCTTCGAGCACTTTGTTCCCAGGAACAATCTTTGTCGCTCTTGTTCTTCTCCCCTCCTTCGAACTCCCTCCCACACTTCGAGTCGTTATGACAACACTTTTAGTGTTGCCGCTATGCGGCTATGGAATGCCTTACCGCATGCAATCCGCAATAGCCCTTCTCTGAGCGCGTTCAGGAAGAAAACCAGGGATGTTTATCTGACCCTTCAATAATCAGACCCTTAGTATGTATGTATATATATATATATGTATTCATGCGTATATAATATTTTACTACCCTAATTAATGTCGGTATTTGTTTAATTTATATGCTTTTCTGTGTTGATTCCTCTGTACGCATCACTGTGCCCTTACGTTTCTCTGTTGTCCTCTATTCGCTCAAGGTTTGCTGGAAGAAAACTAAGTTTTAAATTAAGCTCGCCTTTGTACATGATATTTCCTTGTTACTTATATATATGTATGTGTTCAGTGTTTACAATAAAGAATAATTAAATAAATATCTATTTTTTCTAAAACATTCTAATTTAAGCCGCTGGCCGTCCGGATAGCACGTCACCGCATGTTTTTTTCGGTGAGTACCTGAATCGGATTAGATGTAAGGAGACGGCACTATGCCAGCACTGCGCAGCTCACTGAAACTCCGAATTTGTGCATATATAAATTTAAAAATAAAAAAAATCGGTTGTCTGTAAAGTTGGTTTACTGACGATAGTTGAACGCGACAACGTCATAAGAAAATACTGATGGAATGGTTGCATTTTTCAAAAATGTATTATTGTATACGAGTAGTAGCTGTCCACGCGGACGCATCGCTCACTCAAGTTCCTACTTAAGAGAGACAGATGTCGAACGCTGCCGAACGCGGAGGCCGATTGTGCCTCTTTGTCACTAGTTCCGCGCTCTCGCTTGCACTTCACGCCTTAAATGAAACGCCTCAGAGCGAGGTAACGCCGCATGAGTCATGTTTTTTCGTGCGTGCAGCCGGCTCCATCGAATTATAAGACGTTGTCACGTCAATAATAATGTTCCACCTCATTTACACAACGCCATACAGTCCTAAGCTAAGCAGAGCTTGAACTATGGGTATATAATATTAAAAAAAATACTTTGACTCTAACGTCTCGGTAAATACATAAAGTTGTTCCTCGAAAGTGTACTCTCGGGAATGAGATGTATTTTTGCTGGAAGTACAAACTTGCAAAAAAAAAAAAGTATAAACAGATTTTGGGTAACAAAAGGCAGGTTATATACTTAAAGACATAACAAATCTTATTTGGTAGCCAACATTTGTCTCTTAGACCGCTTATTGGAACTATTATGGTAGTTAAATATGGATTATTTAATTTTAAATGATATTTAAACTCATATTATGAGTTAGTCCCAGTGAATGACTTAAGGAAAGAAACAATGGGTTAAAAAGAATGCTAACTTTATTAATTAAACTTTTTAGACGCTTTTACACGTTAATTAGTTCTGTTGAAACATCTTAGTGTACCTTAAAGAGTGTAGTTAGTACAGACCCTTCAGGCACTCCTCAAACTTGTGCCGAATATTTGACCTTTCTTATGTCGTGGCAAAAAACGGTATCTTTAAGTACTCACTGATTTGCACCAAACAGACAATAGAATAATTCCATTATCTAACAGTGTAAAGGAGGCCTCTGTGCCATGACATGGTATTTACATCATCATCATCTCAGCCGAAAGCCAGACGGCTTTCGGCTGAGATGATGATGATGTGAATACCAGGCAGGCCTATGTCCAGCAGTAGACACTGCATGACATAGGCCTGCCTGCATCCAACATGTACATACCAAATTAGCCACGACAAAGTTTGTGTGCTAAAGAAACCATAGCAATATTGCCATCCAGCCTCACGCCTGCAACTTTATCAAACGCAAGTCCAACTGCATATGGAATACTGTTCTCATCTTTTTGCGGGGGCATCCTAGTACCAGCTCTTTCCTTTGGACCATGGCCAACGGAGAGCGATTTAAATAGACGATTGCCAGAATATTCAACTCCTTGGCGTTGCGTAGAAATGTAGTTTCATTCTACTTTCTCTATAGCTTGTATCATGGAGAGTGCTCCGTGGAATTTTCCAGAATGCAACCTTCTTTCCATCATTATCCTGATCACTTGGATGATTAGCACTTCACCAGTGTGCGCCTTTCTAGAAACTTTTTTGCCTCGCACAACCAGTTTGTGGGACACATTATCACCTGTGGTATTTTCGGACCGAAACGATCTTTAGAAAAGAACATACTCAACAACGTGCTTATCTTCTCAGCTAGAGGCGTTCATAGGCTGCGGAAATACTTTTCATGAGGAGAACCATCTACCCGTTTGTCCCGTATATTATAAAAAATTACACTAAATAACTTAACTCTTCGCTTTGACATTACATGACCCTAAAATTGGCCCTAATACGACCCTATAATAAATGTCTGCAGATCTGACACCTTCCAAATGATTAAATCCATCAATATTCATTGATGAGAGACAAGCTCAAGATTTTTTGGAACCTTTTTTTTCTATGAAATTAATGTTGCTGTTGAGCAAAGTGCTAACAGGCTGACAAATACTGAAAATCTCTTTGGTCAGCGTTATTGGGCGATCAGACAATGTCGCTTCCGAAGGAGTAGCTAGCAAGTTCCTTATCAATATTCAACTACATAACTTGATATTGATTTAACAATACTTTACCATTGCTTTAATAAAATAATAAAGTAACTGATCTCGAATGCAAGTATTTATTTGTCTAAGAGCCCAATACTTCAGTATTAGATGGTATAAATATTAAATTAATGAGAATGTAACAGAAAATTTAAAACAGTTACGTCATGTTAAAATATTTTTTCACTTTTCTAACCATATTTGATGACATAAAAAGCTTGTCTTTTTAGTATTGATTTATGCGCTGTCGCTAAACCTTTCATCTGATTATTTAATAATACAACTCTTAAAAGTTAGCTCTGAAATACAAAATTGAATTAATTGTTTTTTCATGTTTTTATTCAATGTAAGCATTCGGTAACCTTATAAATAAAGGCCGAATTTTTGCACACGCAAAACTAAAGAAGATCGGGCGATACAGTGTTAAACAATAAAACCATCTGCACACTATCCCAAGACGGTTTACCTTCAATAATGCGGAGAGGAGCATTTCCAGGGGTCTTCCACAATGGTTTCAAAGGGAAAAGCGGTGAGTGCGCATGTACGGGCCGCCGCGCCATATCGCAAGTCGGACTGAGGGAGACCACTCCAGTTCGCGAATGGAACCCGGGGGCGCCGCGTTCTCCGCCTGACCGATATGCGCGAGCCCGCACTGTAAACACTGTAAAGTCTATTGGTGCACGGTACTTGTGACTATTGTGTGAAAGTTTATAAAAGTTCAAGTTAAACTTTTTGGTGATAATAACGTATATGTACTGTAGGTATTTTTAAATATAGTTTTATAGTTAATTGCCGCTCGAACTTTTTGTTGTATAGAACTAATGTGTTTTAATATAAACCTGAGTCATCGTTCTTTACGAAGTTTTATACAGTCACACAAAATGAGTATAAAAATTAGTTTTAATGTGTATTGAGAACATTAACCGCAACGGAATCACGCAATGCTTTTTTATAGCTTGTGACTTGTTTTAATCCTTTTTTCCTTGTAATTTTGTGGATTCATTCTGCACATAATTTGAACCTGGGATAAGTTTAATTTCGTTTGTCAAGTCTGATCTTAATGTAGTTCCAATCACTTCCGTTTTTTTAATTATTCTTTTAACCTATGAGAACTATCCGTCGGCAATTTCTGCGGACTCTCAGAAACCCGAACTGGAATACAAATTTTTAATCAATCTTTTTCATTAAGTCTTTTCTTTAATATTTAATAAAAAAAGGTTTAAATCGAATAAAATAATCGGTTTTATAATGAAATGGATCATTTATGTTAAGATTTCTGGGTAAATTTTTAAGTAAAGAAAATGAATAAGTCTGTGCCGATGACTCTTGATGACGTTGGACGATGCGTTACTAAGACTACACTCTGACAGATGTAACATAAAATTTGTCTACAATCAAAAACATGACAGTCAGAAAAATATATGTTCCTATTTTGGAATACAATGCGAACGATATACGTGACCCGTCAGCGACACGCGATGTAATTTTGGAGTATCCGACTGTGCATATTATCTTCGTCCATAATTGAGTAAGCCAGCTGTAATATTTTTTTAATAATATTGTCTTTTAGAAAAGTTTGGGATAACCGATTTTGGTAAATAAATCTTATTTAGAATAAGTAGAAAATTTGTAGGGACAACCTTCTCTTACAAAATTGTTTACTGATGGACTGCGGGTGTTAATAAAGGATTGAAACTAAATCAAAATATTTCGTGGCCTAATCTAAAAAACGGAAATATTTCAGCACCAGCGGATTTAAAATTTGCCACAAATTCAAACTATTTAAAAATTGTATTTTAATTATATTAAAATCCTTTGAAAGTGGTCAAGTTTAGATTTCGAAGCTCGTTACTTCTTTAATAAATATAAAGGCTTACAATAATTATTAACAAAATATCCCTTTAGGATATTGATTGATGAATATTAAGAAAGCGAAAAGAATGCACAAGAAAGCGTTGTCATCAAATTCTATCCTATGTACATAGGATACAATTCTTACGCAATACTTTTATTGTAACATTTGTATTCAGTGAAATAAAGTCTCATAGCGGGAACGGGCTGTTTTATTGCTACATTCTAATTCTACCTAACAAGCTAAAGCGTAGTCCCGTTCTTAGGCTTACATTTTGTGATCTTTGAAGCAAGATGTTTAATTTTCGGGAAGTGTGACCTGTGATTTCCTGTGATTTTGTTGCAAAAGCTTATCAGTATAGTTGGCCTCCCATAGGCCGGCTCTAGCGTGCCTTAAACAACATTTAAAATTCTGCAGGATTTCTTAAGGGAAATCACAAGCTCCTAGTTGCAAACACTTCTAAAAAAGAAAATTAGACGTCAGTAATATAGTCTTTACAGTCTGAATGCTTTAATAATAGCCGTGCCCGGATCCCTCCTATTTTAGGTACACTGTGACACACCGTGTGGCTTTAGACGATTGGATTCCGACACACCGCCCCACTGAAAACCCCGGTGTAGTGACTGCCGAAGAAGGCTACCACATATACAAAAAGGGTTCATCAATTATCATCAACAGCCTTTACTAGTTCACTGCTGAACATAGGCCTCTCCTTAGAAAGGAGGTTGGTATTTATTTCAAGTTTTCCTTCTCTTTGCAGTGCTGTTGTCCTGCGTAGTTTACTGCCTTAGTCGGCTCTCACGACACCCACGGGATGAATAGGGGTGGTGACACTCTGTATTCTTAATCCATCACCACACGTCACAAAAAGGCTTAACAATTCCATAAACTCGTGAATTTATTAGCCAACAGAACATGAACTTTGAGGATTTTCGCTAATGTTTGGCAAATTAAATTAAAAATTTATACGTAATACAATTATAGCATTAGAATGTATTAACACTGAAAAATTACAGTAAAACAAGCTTACAAATGACATTATTCTTACGGCATCTTCATTTCAGCAAAAGCCAGTAGAAAAATAAAAATCCTTAAAAAAAATGTGTGACCAGTAATATAAAATTAGTGACATTCTCATAAAACCTGCAGTATTTACAATAAGTCGCAAGATTTACGTGGTAAAGTATAAGAATCGATATTGACGCCAAGGTCTTTCAGCAGCATCACACAGCAGAAAATAAAATATTTTTACTTACCACTGTGTTGATGGAACTCAAAATACAACGATGTTCAGGGGTCACACTTTACCCTGATTACTGAAATTGCTGTTCAGCGATTAGGACTACAGCATCCCATATAGAATACAACCGTATCTAGCAGCGGTGACTTTGTTTTCATAGTTCTGGGATCAATTAATCGATATGTGAAAAATACCAATATTTTAGTTATGGACAAAATATTTGGTAATCTACCGTGAATCTTCTACATCGTGAAAGTGATTCCATTAAGGGCCTTGTTGTGATGGGAAGGGTGCGGGGAAGAGGCCGCGTGGTAGAACGCCAATCTGCTGAACAAACCAGATTAAAGTGGCTGTTGGCAGTTCATTAAACGAGTGCGTCAGGATGACCGAAGTGGCAGACAGCTAACAGAAGTGCCAGACGGTAGCCAGAGAATCATCATCATGCTAGTAACCACCACTCTGACAAGAGTGACGCGACTAAGAAAAAGACCTAAGTACTCAAGAATATTCTCGTTATTTTTTTCAAACAGTTCTCCTGAATATCAAAGCATACTAATATTAACACGACGATTTCGAAGACAGGAGCAGGTGATTCAATTAATACTGCTTCTCTAGACAGGACCTATTGAAGACGATTATATAAATTAGGTATTTGAAGTGAAATTAGGCACAAGACTGTAAAGGCCGTCATTGCTTTAAATTTCAGTAATGTAAATATGACGACATCGCCTCGAATATTAACTGTACAAACAAGCTTCATATAGGATATGTTTTACTGGTATTGCTACTTATGTAATGTCAAGCGTACGGTGGATAATATGAAACAAATTAAGTTGAACACGATAAATATCATTCTAATTAATTAAGCTTTCGTCTTCTTTTCGAATGTCAGTGATTGTAGTGTGTAAACCACTTCTGATCAGTGACTATTTATTTAGAGTTATATATCTGGCACTCACGTTATCTAATCTTGTACCCATGATATCAGTCGACAGGTTATCAGCCAAATAAATATTTAAAAATAACGAAATACATAACTTTAGTAATTTAGTAATTTATTTAATATAAATCACATGTTACTGAGCTAAGTCATATTTTTGATTGTACGTGCGTTTGGTTATTTCGATGTAATGTTATGTTGTACACTACACAAATACGAAAAACTTAATTCCGTCAGTCACAAATACGAATTTCAAAATTCCAATTTTCATAATTCCGAATGATTCAAAACTCCTAATATAACAACTCCGATTAATCATTCATCCTATTTTCATAATTCAAAAATATCAATATTTCTAACGTTTTTAATTCTTCTTCTCCGTCGTCACACTCTTGTCAGAGTGGTCGTGGTCTAACGTTTTTATTTACTATGCTCAAAATACCAAAATTTCAATTGATCAAATGGACCGACTTAATGATAATTCGAAACCTCCTCGGGCCCTCACTCCACCGAGTATTGCGGCGGGGCGGTGTGTCACAATCGGACCGACTAAAACCACACGGCGTGCCACTCTGCGCCTGTAATAGCAGGGATCCGGGAACTACTATTATTAAGACATAGGAGGGGTCCTAGCGCCTGCCTGCAACAGCGGATGGAGGGAAAAACCCGTCCCGTCCACCCGCGGCCACACTCAGTATTCAATAACAATAGATGGTTACCTAACCCAGGTATATGAAAACACAAAAAAATATTAATAACAAAGTAGACCTTTTTAAAGTACATTATACGTCACTTATAGTTTTTGAATTAATACGCATAACTGAATCAGAATCCTAATTTTTGCAAAGCAGTTTATTTGAAGTATTGAAACTCAGAATTTTGTTTTTGGACCAAGAACCCATCGAGCATTTGATTCCTCGGACGTATACAAATCGGAAAACAAACAAATCGAATTTACGATTTGCGGTATAATAAATTTCGTGAATTTTAATAATAGACATTATAATTCTTAGGTATTATGAAATTCGGACTTTTGAAAATCGGAACAACAAAATTAGGAATAAAATATTTCGGAGTATTTGGGTGTTCCCGTTTTACAAGCTTAAATAAATACACGACTCAATTCAGTTTATGTTAGAAACTAACAAATGAAACAATGTATTCACGAGATAAGAATATATACTATGCCTCATTTAAACGATAAATATTTAACTTATAATATTTTAGGCTCTATTTGAGTATTTTCAACATAAATTTGGCTATTACTAATATTATTGTTACAACTAACAAAAGTTTAACCTGATTACCATAGAATAACTTCAAAATAAATTATAGCTAAGAGAATTTCATCAAAAACAAACAGCCTAAAATAAATTATTATGGTTATTATTCCTGGATAATCTTGTAAATACACAAATACTATACTACTATGTTGTTTCGTTTGAATATTATTAAGTCTTAAATACAGAGGGAGAAATATAATTAAAATTTTAATTAGCAATTTATAAGCTATACATACAAGAGCGTACGATCTTGTCTGATAGATTCGCAATAGCCTGAAGCATTCACAAGTGTAGAAAAAATTTTGCAGAGCATGTTAAGAAGTAAAAGAACCAAAAATATATTATTTTATCAGTTACATCATAGTACTAAATCATTGC